TGTAATAGGTGCCCCGATGTCCAGGCTTGGTGTTCCCTTGATTGTATATAACCTGTAGTCTCCTGGAAAAAACACAAGAGCATCACACATCCAGTACTGGTGATGGCTTTGACATCCATTCCATTTTCAAGGCTGGGGATTTACATTTGTTTTCATGAAAGTCAAGAGTCTCTTTTGTATCTTTAATTTCTCTGATGTAGGTGGGACCTGTAGCTACCAATTTTGTGGCCGTACATGAACCTGCTCAGGTAGCAATAATACAATTAAAGTCATAAATCAGTGTTAGGGCTAATCCCTAAGCCCACGCGCATTTACCTTGGTGGTTAGGGACACACCCAGGGGCTAGCTAGTTTTTTTCTCTCTCAACCTCAGCTTTGCTCTTTAACCATTGGTGAAATTATCTGAAAAGTCTGAACAAAATCTCTTTATCCACTTGAGCATACTTTTCCCTTGTCAGAGATGATAGCAACATCTTTTTCCCCCACGCAGCACAAAAATCTGCTGAACTTTGGAACGCAGGGCCAACTCCTTAGCTTGTGCAAATTGGCCATAGCTCCGCAGACATCAGCGGCATTGCATGGATTCCACCAACTGAAAAATTGGCCAAAAGGCCTAATAAATTCTCCACATTCAAGGGCGATGCCCTGACCAACTGTGAAACAAACTGACCACATTGTAACCGACCGTTACAAGACTGAAAATTAGCTATTGCATTTGTACAGTAGAAAATTCCTTTACAACCAAGTGCCCATACTTACAAAGACATGTTATTCCACAATTGTGATGCACTCCTTAATGCTGTTGATTGTTTAAACGTGTGGCAGATCTCAGCTGTGAAAAGCAACTTGCTCTGGGTCCACCCCTTAGTCCTATGCATGACTTAAGGCCTGAGGTGACTGATTTTCAGAATCAAAATGTTTCACAGTGTCGTTCTTTAATGGGTGACAAATAATCATACAAAGAAAACTATTTGTAATAAAGACATGTCTGGTGTCATTACTGGCCACAACTGATTTACCGATAGCACTCATATGTTTATTTGAATGGAGAATAGTTTCCTATAATTGGATGAGTATCATGAAACTGTGATCAAATTTCACAAATATTTACTTTGGGCAAGAAAACATTTTTGATAGTGCCTACACTTCTTTGGCTTTTCTTTTCAGTTCAAATACTGTTAATTGCCCTGAGGGTGCAGACAGAAGATATTCTGTTAGGAGTACCAATGAGTCCTGAGTAAACATTTTAAGTGGTACATAGGGATCACTTTCATGAGAACTCTTCTGTCACGCCTGTCAGGTAGAAAGGTCTTTTCTCTCATCCAAATGAGATTTGGGTATAGGCCATTGGTTCTTATGGTAATGAGTGAGAGGACCATGCCTGTATGCGGGGTAATGAGAGTTATGTTTCCCAAGTCACACTGTTCCATGACTGTTTGGTTGGCTGCCTGTAGTGAGTTGGTGGGTCTGGTTTTGGTTCCTAAAAGCTAGTTGTCCATGTCACACAAGCTACCATCACAGTTGTCACTCGTTTTCAGGCTTGTGCACAGTGAAGACAGGCAGAGCAAAGCCACATGCCCATCTTTAAGTGCTAGGCTCCATACACCTTTAGCTCTTATTGACTACACTGAAGAACAAAGGCATTTCATTTATCCACAGGTTCAGTCCCCAAATAGCAATGGAAAATGGCCTGCTACCCTCTCTCTCTCTCTCTCTCTGTTTGTCTTGTGTACCCTGCAATTTGGAGGTGTAATTGTAGCACATCTAGCATATCCAAGCAAACTGCAACCTGCCACCGCATGTAACAATTCGTGGATGATACAGTACCAGACTTCAACACAAGCTAGCTGCTGAAGTAAGTACTGCTGTGCAGTTTCACGCTGAAGCCTGTGGTGCAGTGTCTTCAATGTATTATTCCCTGAACTGGCTAGAGCAGAGCTAGTTTGGGTCTGCCTACATGAGCTGCAATCACACCTCTTGACTGCAGTATCAAAATGTCCTTGTTCTCACGCACACATGTGCATGACAGGATTTTGTTCTTCAGTCTGGGGCTGTTAATCCTGCTTTTTTTTCCCCTTAGTGTTTGGAAATAGCACCAAGAGATGCTGGTGCCGATTGGCAGTGTCTTATTTGTCTCAGAAACCTTCCTTGAGCTTTTGTAATCTGAAAAAGTTAGAAAGCAAACCTGCTGTTTCTTCATTTGCCTCCAGCAGGGGGAGATGGATCCAGAGAGCATTTCTGCTGGGAAAACAAAAGAATGGTGATATATTTTACTCAGGAGGCTCTTCTCCAAGCATTTCTGTGCAGTTCCACATTGTTTGGTCTTTACCTGTACAAGTAAATAAAGCCAACCAGCCTTGTGGCATTACATTTTTCAGAGTATGAGACTCTGGAGGGAATTCTCTCCTTGTGCCTCATTTTATTAGGAGCATTGCCCACAGGCCCAGCCACAGCTGGGGCTCTGTTGAGTTGGCCACTGAATAGATGCATAGGGAGGCAAGGGCTCCCAATCACCATCCTCTTGGCTACTCTGTCTCAGGGGAATTGAATTCCACTCTCAGGGTCCCCAGTGTGTCATGGATAGTTTTTCCCCAACAGTGTATGATTCAGTCTGGATTTGGGGGTGTCACCCAGGGCCTGGGACAGATTTGCTCCCTCCCTTCTTTGTGAAGCCCTCTCCATAGTCCTCCCTGTACAACATATTGTTATCACTTTCCATGAAGTGCACCCTAAATATATTTAACTAAGCATTACATTTAGATTTAACTGGATAGTTATTGCCTCCTAAGTAAACACTCTGAGATAAGGAAATATTTAGTGAGCTTTGGCAGTTGCGTGGCAGATGCTGCTTGTGTTACATAATAGTTAATCTTTGACAAATATGTTTTCCTTACTTCACTGGCATTTCATTAACATACAATAGCTTTTATTAAATGTAAATGAAATGCATATGGGAGCCCATGTAACGATGACAGTGTGTACCGCATTACTGGCTGCTTAATACAGAGGGAAGGGTTCCACTATAGTCAGCTTCCTTCCTGTGCCAGGTCTCACTGCAGCACTGAGACTTCTCACATCAGTGCCCATCTCAGCACCAGCTGGAGCACCAGCAGCACGAGATTCCTTTCGGCAGTACCCTTTCCACCATCATCTGAGATGCCAGCAATATGAGCCTCTTCCCAGCTGAGCTGGTTCCACTGCCTCCAGCCCTGCCAGTTTTACTGAAGCAATGCCCATCTCCTTGCCAGCTGGGATGTGAGCACTGCAAGCTTCCTCACAAGGATGCCCTGGGAATGCCAGCCCCCAGGCACAGCAGTTTGCAAATATGGGGAGAGGACCATGTTTGTATGCAGGGTAACTTCCTGGTTTCCTTTCACTTTTTGGCTCCATCTACTTTAAATCTTCCCCAGAGGAAAATTAAGAAACACAGCTTCTTGACTCATTGCTTGTACTCCCAGGGTTAGTTTCTTCTGCCCCTACCTCTGCACGCTTTGAAGGGCTCTGACCTTTAGCCCTACTCTCAGGAAGCCTAGACCTGATCTTCAACATAAGTGGGGCTGTTAAATGCTCATAGGCAGTGCTCACTTTCAGCACAAAGGAGCTATGGCCTGCCCCCTTCTTGTTCCTTGCGGTCCCCTGCACATCTGCACCAAATCTGGTGTGGAAAACGTATAGTTTCTGCCCTCCCTCTCAGCAGCCTAGCTGGAGCCCTCTTCACACCAGCTCTTCCCTCTTCAGCTCTTCAAGGCCAGTGCTTCCAGCCCCAGAGCTATGGCCGCAGAAGAGATATATGTGCAGTGTACTATGCGGGCCAAGCATCCCCTAGGAACACCTCTTCATCCCTCCTGGGCACAGGGGAGGGAGGCGGGCATCCGCTATAAAACATATGGCTCTTCCTCTCCATTAATTTAATCTCCTTTCCCTTGTGCTGATGCTGATGGCATGTGAGCTAAGCAGCCGTTCTCTGGGTCGGCTCAGCTGCTGCAGGGCTCAGGGCTCAGCTGCAGGCACTGGCATTGGGGGAGGACAGACACAGCATTCAAACTGCTGGCCCTTCAATACAAGCATTGTCTCCCGGCCATCCTTCAAAGGCCTGGGGAAGGGGCAGGGGAGAGAGAGGCAGGCCAGGGGAAGTGGGACTGTTTATCTGGTGAGGGAAAGTGCAAGAGGGGAGAAGGGAGAGTTGAGCCTGGACAGCCTGCTGCCCGGAACCTTCCTCTTTCAGTCAACTGCCTTCTGCTTTTGGGCCATGCTGCCAAGGTTTCCCTGCCCCTGAGCCTCAGTGCCTCCCCCCAAACCAGCATGCTCCCTTTCCCTAGATCTTTCCTGCTTCCTTCTCTCTCTACCCCACTGCTCTGGCTTCCCCTGCCCTCTCTCTGCTTTTCTCTCGACCTCTTTCTTCCTCGTTCCCTTTTTCCTGATACCATGCACCCTCCCTCACCCCCAACCCGTATGCCCCTCCTTCTCCAGCTCCCTTTGCCCCTTTTATCCTCCCTTGTAAACTTTCCCTTTCTCTCTCATTTCTCCGTATTCAAGCCCCTTCTGTCTATCCAGCAATGTCTCTTTTGCATTCCCCCCTTTCCAGCCCTCCCCGCCCCCTTTTTCTCTCTCCAGCATCATTTCTTTCATGCATCTGCCCTTCCTCAGTGCTCTCAGTCCCAACTTCCAACTCCCCCTTCTAACTTCTTCTTCCCCCCCTCTCTCATCCCTCTGTCTCCAGACCATCCCCACTGTGTACCACCCCCCTCCACACACTTCCCTAACTGTGGTCTCTCTTTTCTAAGCTCCAGCCCCTCTACTTAAGGAATCGGCCAGGCTTCAGATGGAGCTGTTGTCGTGACAACCTAAAGGGGCATTGGCCTTTGATGAGGGCTGGCTGCTGCTGAAGGGGGCAGTTGTGTGAAGTCAGAGGGGATGGGGGGGTGTTGGAGTGGAGGGGGGCAGCAGCGGGTGGGTCACCCCCAGAGAGGGAGAGTGGAGAAGCCGCTGCTCTTGGCTTTCTTCCCTGTGCTCCTGGTGTAGCGCTGAGTTTTTCTTTCACTAGTGAGGCTCCCTCCCTCCCCTCCTCGCCTCGCTCCGCCTGGGAAAGTGGGTTAGGAAGGGAGCTGAGTGCTCAGAGACTGCACAGGCACTCACTGGAGCAGGAGCATCCACACGCGCAGGGGAAGAACACAGGCCTCTTGTTTCTCTCTTTTTTTAACCTCCCCTCCGTCTCTCCAGACGGGTTTGATTCTTTTGCAAGCTGGTTTTTCTCTTGCTTGGTTGCCACCCACCTCTCCCTGCACACACATTCACACACACACACATTCATTTCCCCTTTTTGGAGGGTTTTTCACTAAGACTTTTTTTCGAAGAGGTTTTTTTGGGGTTTTTTTTAAAGCCAGCAAGAGACTGAGCAGAACAAGAGAAAGTGACAGCTCAGAGGGACCGTGAGCTCTCCTCTTCCTTGGGCTTTCAATCAGAGACAGAGTTGCACGTTATTGTTATTGTTGTTGTGCCTTTTCTTTTTTTTAATTTACATCCATCTGTCTATCCACATCCACACTCACACACGCACAGAGAAGAAGTCCATACATTGAAACTCAACGAGAACAGCCATGGTAGGAAGGGCACAGCCTGATCGGAAACAATTACCGCTGGTCCTACTGAGATTGCTTTGCCTTCTCCCTACAGGGCTGCCAGTCCGCAGCGTGGATTATACCCGAGGCACTGATAACATCACCGTGAGGCAGGGGGATACAGCCATCCTCAGGTAGGGCACACTGTCAACTTTTCTTAATATATATATATGTGTGAGTGTGTGTGTGTGTGTGTGCGTGTGCGTGCGTGTATGTGTGTACGCGTGCATGCATGCTTGTGTGTGATTTTACCTCCTGAACTGCAGCAGCTGCTGCTGCTAGTGTCAAGCTGTGTGCATGTGTGTGTCTCAGCCAGAATATCACCAAGAAAAAGAGCTTCTGACATTCCTCCCCTCACCACCTCTACCCCCTTTTTCCTCCATAGTATTCTGGAGAGGAATAATTTTATTGGCAAAAGAAAGATTTACTCCTGCTAGCCCACCCTCGTTGCACGGGTGTGTTTCAGCAGTATCTGTGGACAAATCGAAAGGGGTCCAGCTGTGCTTGCCAGATGTTCTATCGATTTCTCTTAGTACTTCATTGTGATCCTATGCAAAAACTTTATCCTTTGTCTTGCTCAAACTCTGAAACAGTGTCCTTTTGGAAGCCCTGACTTGGATTTTTAGGTTTGGTGCATGGGGTTGTTTAGTTGGTGGGCTAGGGAAGGAAAAAGGGTAACAGCTTTGATGGGTGATGTCTCTGTTGACTGTCTTGGTTTCCTTGCAGTCACCAAGGAAATGGGTGTATACTCTGTCTGAATGAATTGTTCTCAGGAGGATCACTTTCCAAGTGAAGGATTGTTTGCTGATGTGGTGCAGAGTAGGGATTCTCTTATCATGATACTAGGGTTGTGAGGGTCTGTCCTAGCCTGTTCTAGGCTTTATTTAACCCAATGTCTGGAGTAACTGAAAAAAACTGAAACAAACTGTATCCCATGGCTCCTTGTCAAAGTCTACTTTACCCATCTTACATACAATAACTTCCCTCTTGGAAAGAAAATATGGTGTGTGTGTGTTTGTGTGTGTGTGAAAGAGGGAGAGAGAACGTGTGTGTCATGGGCTCTCTATATTATGGCAATAAAGCTACTGGACACGATTTAAAATAAGCCTGTAATCTGTATGAGAAGCTGATAGTGCACAAACCCCAGAGCATCTAGGGAGTAATTCCTTTGCAAAGCTAACAACACCAGCAAAGTTTTCTTTCTCTTCTTTGGAAATAAATCCTGCTAAATGTCACTGAACGGCCTGCTACATGATCCCCCATGCTCTGCATACCTCCATGTAGAAATGGTGGGGTCTGTACATCTGGGAGAGGGGAAAAGAATGTAGGGGAAGAGGGGTGTGTGTGCGCGTGCGCGTGCACGCGTGTGTGTGTGTGTGTGCGCGCGCACACGCACGCGCATGCAGGGGGGGGAGAGTGCGCGTACCTTCCTTTTCTCCTTTCCTGTGTGCTGGGTTGTTATGATCCTGGAACATCCTTTTCAGCAGCTTCCATTCCCCAGCTCTCCAGACTTGTTAACTTGCATGTAAGATTTATCCACATGGAGTAATAGGATTTACAGAGTAATTCATCTGCCTCGCGTCAGTGATGGAAGGGTTTAGATGCGACATGGAAAACACCTAACAACAAGTGCTGCCTCTGACTCCAGGCTCCTTGGACTCTGTGGGGATTCAGATATTACATTAACCCTTTCCTGCAGAGCTCCCAGCCAGTTTCTCTGCTCCCGATTTCTAAAGGCAGGTTAATTCCATCGGTCTCCTATTTTGAGGGGCAGTCTAGGAAGTGCATGTGCTTGGATGTGCTCCCTATAAATGGCAGCAGTTGAGTCGTTCAGCTCACTTGCCCAGAGGTCACTGGAACTTGATTTCCCACTTAACCTTGCAGCCCCGGAGTTTATCTAGCTGCTTTGTGTTAAAACAGCTTTGGCAGTGGAAGAGGCTGCAGGCACGGCAGAGGGGGTGTTGCTCCATGCTGTGTGTGAGGGTTTGTCAGGGATGTGAATGAGGCTGCCTGCAAGAATGTTTTTTATGTGCACGAGGGACTGCGTAGCTGCACGTGTGATGTGAGGCACTGAAATAAAATATCTGAATGAGGTGATCCAGCTGCGTGAGCCAAATGTTCACTCAATTACCTGCTCACAAAAAGCCCCACACCTCCAAACATCATGCCTGTGCTCCAAGCAATACTTTGTTCCCAGCTAGATTAATTTCTGTCAGAAGTGATTGCAGGCCAAGCACATGCGTTCATTTCCTCAGCTGACCTTCCAAGGCTCTTGAAAGGGATCTGACAGGGTGGTTTTGTTTCCTTGTGGAGAACTGCTTTCTCTACTCTCTCTTTTTCCTGGTACCAGTCTTTGGAAGCCTCACTGTCATTTCAGCCCTGACATTTCACTCCCTGCTTCAGAAGGCAGGCCACATCCTTGGTTTGGAGGAGGTGGGGTTACCATTTGGGGGTGAGATAAGTAAAATCACTTGTATCCATTGACCACTAGTCTTTGCAATCCAGGATGACTTTTCATTCTCATGGCATTAATGCAAGGGTGTTTCTGACTGTTTGCCTCCCCCCTTACTCCGCTATGGAATGCTTTGTTTCAAAAGACCTTCATGCTGGTGGCGGTGTCTCCTGTGTCATTAACTTAAACATCTCCCACTATTATACTGTCACTGGTGGAGCTTTATCAATGGTGACACAAACCATCCACCAGCCTTCATACCATCTAACCCTGCTCAGCACAGATGTATAACTGCACAGTGCGGCAAATAAGAAACTTTCATGTAGAAGCCATTTCACCCTTCAGTCATATGTGTCCACGTTTGGGGTGGAACATGGTGGCTATTTATCAACATGCAACAACTTCACCCAACTCAGCTGAAAGACAGTGATTAATAATAAAAAAGCGCATTGAAGTTGCAGGGGGAATACAAGTGGAAAAATTTGCATAAAGTTCAGATGAGTTAGTGTGTGTACCTAATGCATATAATGTTATGTAACATAACTCCAAATATTGCATTCACGTAAAGTTGTGATTATAAATTATTCTGCACTCCACAAATGTCAGACAGTTTGGAGAGCTTTTTTCACATAGGCATTTTTGCATATGTAGTATTTTAAACATGGCAAAAGAGTTTTAGGCAGGTAGACAGAGAGAGCGAGAGCTAGCCACTTTCTATTTATAAGCCCAGTTTCCAACTCAAATTACCTTCTCCAGAAAGAAGCCTTTCTTCTGAAGTTTCATGTACTTCACGTCCTCTCAAGGTAGAATTGTTCTGCAAAGTTTGGAAAATCTCATAAAAAGGAACTTTAAAGCTCTGGCATTTAAAATATTCCCCTGCTGTTGACTTTTTAGAAATGTTCTTAACATTTTTGGCTCATCTCCTAAATGACCCAGCTTCAAATTTGATTCATTTGTTGGCCTTGCTGAAGGTCACTGGCTTTTAGTGTTTGACATAAGGAAGTTAGCCAGAGAATTACAAAGATATATAATAATGAGAAAAGCTTGTGATAGAATGCACAGACAGTGCATAACTGTTGAGAGAAGGAGACAATAGTGCCAAGTAAGGCTATGGCAGGGGCCCCGAGAGCAGTGCAAAGTACTAGTGAAAGTCTGTTGGTATGAAAACAGTCCAATTCTGCTCCCAAGGGAGACCACGGACCTAAATGACTATACTGATTATCAGAGATTTTGTCAGTTCACAACTATTTGGGGTTTTCTTAGCGTAGCTTCAGGAAGTGAAGTGTTCTCCATCTGTCTGTTTGTGCAGATGCCCGCGCGCTATGCTTGAGTTTTGTTTGTTCCGTGAATGACATGATAGAATCTGCCTAAATCTTGCCTATAATATCCCATCAAAACTACCTTATTATAGGTTTTTGATGTGCCATTTCCACTGACTCTTTTTAAAAAGGAAGGGACAGCGAACTAGCAAGGCTTTTTTATGTTTCTTGGAATGTGCTGTCTCATTATGTGCTTCATTTCTCAGTACAGACCTGGGGGCCCAGAAGTCCAGAGTCCTTAAACTGGGTTTGATATGCTCCTTCTTTGTGGACCTGTTATTTCGCATTTTTGTGCCATAGCTTTGTCAGTACTCCTCTGGTGGCTTTATTTGTGTATCTGTACAGGGCCTACCACAATAGGCGGAGGCTTAGCAAGGCAGCTCTAAGCCCAGGACAGCTAGAGATGCCTGGGGAAATGTGGGCTACCGCTGTGCTGATTGTGGTGGCATGGTCAGTCATTGCTGTGGTGGTAAGATTTTTGTGCCCCCTCACCAAGGTAGCACTTTGGGCTACTGTCCTCGTCACCCCTCCACTACTGACAATAGGATCCCTGATCCATGAGCACAGCCCATAGATGATGCTATAACACAAATGTATCGTCATCACCATTATCCTTATTAATATTACTATTATTACTGACAAAGGGCCCATTTTCAATCTCACTGACATCTGTGCTACCTCACAGATACTACTGGGATTGCATGGATCTACCATAATTGAGAGCAGAATTCAGCCTCCATATGTTTCCCCAAAAGTGCTAAATAACAGAGTCCGCAATAACAGAGTTCCCACTTTTTCAAACTGCTGTGCTCCTCTAGCTGTGCCTCAAGGGCATCTCAGTTAGAGACCAAACAAGACCCAACCTCTGCTGCTAGGCTGGACCATGCAGAGAGCTCAGGTATCACACCCACATCTTAGCATGACCTCCCACTACTGTCTCTGCAGGCAAAGGTTGCAGGGAGTGTGCACTTGGTTCTTCCATTTCAGCCTAAGGACATGGGAGGAAAGGGACAGGGAATGAGGGATCACTTTGGCTTTGCTCACCCCAGTGTGCCAGTCAGTGCAGCTGAACTAGGGAATAGGGATACCATCATCTACTGCTGGTCAGGGCCATGACTAAACCCTGCCTGGAAGCAGTATGGAAGGTAGAACAGGTGCTGTGCCTCACAGATACATGCTGGCCCTTCTTCTGAGTTAGAAGGAAAAGGGCAACCTTGTCCATACTGTAGGATGGGACAAATGCTGTGTGTACTGGGGATGAAATTCACCACTACAAAGGTGAACCCCAAGGTTGAATGGTGCTTAAGCTCCCCTTGTGCAATATTTGGATGGCTTAGGTAGGACTTAAGGGTGACCCAGGTCC